TGCCCATTTTTCACAGTTCAACAACAAGTAGTTCTGAGGGAACTTCCGCTTGTTCAGCTTTTTCAATATTTCTGCTAAATCTTTATTGTTCTGCTGATTTTTGCATTCACACCCCATTTTCTCAGGAAATTGAAATTGTATTAGTTATAATTATTATGATAATTCCATATATTCTGTCACAGCATGTGATTTATTTACTGCTTGTATATCTTTCATATCAGTCACCTCCAAAAACTCTCTATATGATCTTGCATCTTCCTGCAGGACAATGGGGCTCAATAAAATCCTCAGGTTGACATTAACAGGATGCAGGTAAACAGCTGAGAGTTTGAGTCATTTATTTTGGAACAATGACCTCCAGTACAAATGTTTGATCTATGGTAATCAGATAAGCAGAAACACCCAAATTATTCAGACACATGGATTACAGGGATGACATCACATGGATTAAACAGCAGAGATGCACAGTGAAGCATTACACAGCAGAGTGTACATTAGACCTGATCCAGAACCAGCCCAGTGAAATCACAACAACCACCAACAACACTGAGATGGTCCTGGATCAGGTTCAGAGTCCAGACAGAGATCATCATCATCATCATCAGTCTGAACACAGGAAGCAGCTGCTTTTACAACATCAGACAGAACCAGGACTAGGATCCAGGCTCAGTTAGTGGGAACCAGGATACGACCTGAAAGAAGAAGAGACGAGGACACAGTCACCAACACACTCTGAAATTACATCATCGTGGAAGCTGATTTCAAACTGCTCAGTGGCAATGATTCAGTTTCATGTTTCAGGGCTTGGACCAGGTCTGAGAGTTCTCTGAAAAAATGCTTTAAAAAATGGGTTTGAATGCAGCCTGACACTAATGTGGTCTGAAAATAAACTGTACTGGTCTACAACTTTGTGAAACTGGTTTAAAAACAGCCTGAATATGAATTTTAAAACATCAGTATATAAAACAAAACACTGACGTAAACCAGATCCAAACCAGTTTTAGACTCATGTAATGTGGTTTGAGATTAAGACTGGTCTAAACTGGTTTCATTCTGGCCTGAACTGGTTTCAGGTATGAACTGGTCTGTGAGTGGGAGCTCTGACCTCGGGCCTTCCTCTTGTAGTAGATGAATCCAGCCAGAGATAAGATCAGACCCAGGATCAGTCCTGAGGCTCCGATGGCGAGCTTGTTCCTCTCTGACTCAGGCATGGACGAGGAGGGATCTGAGTCACACAGGTGAGAGTCAGACAGGTAGGTATGTACAGGTGTGTACAGGTGTGTACAGGTGTGTACAGGTGTGTAGATACAGACAGGTATTTACCCCAGTCAGTGATCAGAGGTTCCTTCAGGCTGGCGTGCTCCACCTTACAGGAGATCTTCTCTCCAGACCTTCAACACAAACATCAGTGACTCTCAGATCTGGACTTTAAATGTTTAAACTTTAGTGCAGACTTTTTACTAAAAGTCTGATTGTGATCTCACCTGGGTGTGTACTCCAGGTGTGAGTGGGTCTGGTAGTACCAATCACCATCTGCCATCTCCTCAGTGGAAGTGACATCAGCGCTGACTTCCTGTCCATCTCTCAGCCAGCTCACTTTGATGTATTTGGGGTAGAAGTCATAGACACTGCAGACCAACATGGCTTGATGGATACCAGAAGGAGGCGTACTGGAGTGAAGTCTGACGTACGGCTTAGCTGAAAGACATTATGAGTTTCTGTCGTTGGTAATATGATGTTCTCAGGGATGATTGTATACATGCATCAGATGATGAATCAGCTGTGAGGAGAAACATCAGCAGCTGTAAACATCATTTATTTTAAAGTAACACATGCTGTATGTGCTGGAAATCTACCAGACTTGAACCTGGATCTGGATCAGTTTTTATTAATATCCAGTGAAGTGCTGACTCAGAGTGACATCAGACATAGACAACTGTAGGCTCAGCTGTAGGCTGAACAACAATGGTGGAGGAGATGGTGATAGTGGTGGTGAGCGAGGACCTGATGGAGGGTCACTCTAATCAGACTGTACCATCCAGAGCCTGCAGGGGGCGCTGTGTCTGTCTATTTGGTCATATTTGTAACCAGTCACACACAGATGGGTGAGACAAGAGCTGCTGGCTGATGGAGGAAATCTCTCACACATCCTTCCTTCTCTGAGGTCACACCATCTCACTCCAGAGAGGAAGTCACTCCTGTAAAGAGCCTGCTCATCCACACATGGGTCAACACTCATGGTGCACTGTAGATCTATAACCCAAAAGTGATGGATACGACATGTGGAATCCCTTTTCATAATCAGACAGCTTCCCCTCCACAGGTCTGAGCTGGTTCTCCTCATGTTCCTCTGAGCTGCTGTGACCTGACTGTAGTTCATGACATGAAGAAACACTCGTTTGATTATCAGACGGTTCAACCAGCGGAAAACTGTGTTCTGTCACACTGGGACACATGAATTATTAAGCTCATGTTACACAGCTCACAGGTTGTGTGTGTTATGATGATAACTTAATAATTGTTTCAGTATATTTAATAGCGCCACTGTTACACTGACTCATAGATCTGAGCTGTAAATGTGTGCAGGTGTGAAGCTGTTAAAGAAATCAACAAACAACAAAGAAACAAACTGCAGACACACATTAGTGTGAATATCCAAGTTTAAACAAACATCAGTGTTTATAAGATTTATCTGCTTTAAAATAAGTAAAGAAGTAAAAAGTGTTCAACAACCTGTCAGGCTGCTTCATGCTGTTAGAAATATTTATGTGGAAATATTAATAAAATTAATGTGAGCAACATTTCAGCTCGAACAGGTTAAATAAATACTTTAATATGGTCAGTGTGTTATGATGAACAGCTGCAGTTTGCCTGTTTCACCAGCAGGGAGCGCCACAGACTGAGGTTAGAGTGTTCAGAGTCAGTGATTTATCACAGTTATTGATCACCAGAGTCTGACCTGCAGCTGTGAGTCCATCATGAATGATTCAGAGTAACATGAACACCTGATGATGTCACACAGACCAGCACACTCACCTGATTTAGACAGAACGGCGCTGTTCCAGACACCAATGTTGTGTACGCAGTACGTCCCCTTCTGAGCTCTCATTGCAGCCAGATCTCCCTGATCTTTGTTCCAGTCTGCTGCGTTCTTCACTCCAAAGTCAGTGTATCCAACATACTTCCCCACACTGCTGTCAAACCTGACGACCTCCATCATGTTGTAATAGTAAGATCTGATAAACGTGATGTCCTTCAGCTCAGTGGAGTTAAACACACAGCCAGTCACCATATAATTCATGAATCCATCTGAGAACAAACAGAGCATCAGGACTGATCACTGTATTGATCACAACCAGTGAGAGTGTATGTGTGTGCTGATGAGTGGATTTGTGTGTATTGATCACTATACTGATCAGTGATGAGTGTATTGACCAGTGATCAGTGTATCTCTGTTATATTAAGGAGTGTATTGATGAGTGTATCGATCATACCTGCTGTGCTGAGGCTGATGAAGAGGAGGCTGAGGCAGAGGAAGGATGAAGCCATGTTCCTGAGTTCTCCTGACAAACTGACTCAGTCTGACTGAGAGCTGCTCTAAAAACAGAGGACAGGTCACATGACCACAGCGTCATCTGTTACCAGGAAGAACTCTGTGACACCAGCTCACAGCTCACACTCTTCATCACCGTGTGTGTTTGTCTGTTAAAGTCCATTAAAGCTTTAAAAGCAGAGAGCACTCAGGATCTTCTGTTCTCATTTATATCCCACAGTCAGAGCATCATTCATCTTTAATATTTATCTGCACCAAACAGTTTGAACTGGCCACTGACATCAGCACTGCTGTAATAATAACCACAAGCTGTAATATTAAAAACTGTCATCTTCTCTCTTCTTCCTCCTGTTTAATAATGAATAGAACAATCCAGTATCTTTGTAGCACTTTTGATGACTGCATCACACTGTTATATTAACACTTCCTGTTTGTCTTTAAAAGTGAAAGGACAGAAACACTTTTATTGTGAAAGATTTCCATGCAGCTGGCTGATGTTCCTCTGTGTGACAGCACAGGCCTCATGGATGTGATGGACGTGTCTCAAAGACGAAAACAGGGTTTTTTTTAATTAATGTGAAGTGTGATGTCATCATGTAGAGATATATTTTTACATTTCAGTGTTCAGAGCAGCTGAATCCCGTTTTACTGTGATTAAATTAAATAATCATTAGAATTTGCCATTTAAATACTAAAGCAGACAAATTCAAACATAAAATCATTAACAGTCAGACTGCAGCAGATGGACATCAGCTCATATAAAATGATTATTGTGCTGTGTTACTGTAGCATCTTTGCCTTACAAAAGTGACTCCTTCAGGTCACTATTGGTGGGATTTATTGGTATATAAAAAAAACTGAATTGAATCATGATGAGATTTTAACAGCATTCAGGATCAATTTAAACGTTATATATTAAAATATGTTACAACAGAAGTATTAAACATGTTTGATTCATTCAACTGTTAATTGATTTTTCTCTCACCTGTTTGTATCAGCATACATGTAATCAGAAATGTAGTTTTATATCTTTGTGTGGCATTAAGATAAATTCAGATATCTTTCATTTTAAACACACACACACATTCCTTCATTAAACTGAATGTTTGACCTGAAATCTTCCTCAAACCTGGACTTCAGTGACCAATGACATCAGGTGACAACAAACAGGAAACAGAACCTAAATAATGACACCACTGAGACACACCTGACTCAGCTCTGCACTGACTCAAACCACAGAGAGTGAGCATTTGTAACAACACACAAAGAACAGACTCACAGATTTGTGTTTATTACTCAGATGTTTTTATTGATACATAACGATCTGAAATACAGTTTGATAAACATTGAGTCATTACAGAAGTTTATGAACACACTGAGATCACCCGAGCTCAGATGAAACTGATTTCAGCAACAATGATTTGACTTTTATCTCCTTTGTTTTTGAGGCAGGAACAGAGTCCAGGTAACATCTGCTGGATCAAACATGTGGAGCTGTGGGGGGAGAGTGGCTGAAAGAAGCTTTGCTTTGAATTCAGAGCTAAACTTTATTGACACACATGATAACAGACAGAACAGCTCATACAGGTGATTAACTTCAGGCAGGTAAACAGGAAGCAGACAGGAATCTGATGTTCATTACAGGTGAACTCTCCACACTTACATACAGGACAGTCACAGTGATTATGAGCTCATCATATAACACTGATGACATCATCACTGTGAGCCAATCAGCTGCACTCGTTTCCTTTGATGAGGAAGAAGGTTCCAACAGCCACACCGACCAGACCGAGAGTCAGACCCACTCCACAGAACACAGAGGGTCCGACACCTGGATCAGAGCGAGCGGACGAATCAACCTCTGGAGACACAAACACAGAAACATGAACCTTCACATCTGGAGGCAAACAGGAAACACAGGATGATGTGCCCACATCTGTCTCAAACTATCAGCTCAGATCAGAGCCAGCTGTTGAGCTGTTGTAATAAACACTGGGCTCAGTCTTCACCTCTGGAGACAGAAACACACAGAGACATTTAAATAAAGTTTTCTCACCATAGATCTTGGTCAGCGGTTCAGTCAGGGACAGATGTTCCACTGCACATCTGTAGATGTCTCCCAGCTGTGGGGTGAAGTCCAGTCTGGACGTCTGTCTGAAGGAACCATCTTTGTTTAGATAGGGAACGTTGATGTTGGATCCTGTGACCTTCTGCTGATTCTTGGTCCAGGAGACGTTGACAGGAGCAGGATAGAAACCAGTCACATGACAGATCAGAGTGTTCTTCTCTCCAAACTCCACCTCATCTCTGGTGTAGATCATCACTGAGGGAGCAACTGTGCACAAACACATCAGGCAGAGGATCAGAGCTTCAGCTGGTTCCCATCAGCAGGTGATCATAATGATAATAAACATCAATAAAACGTTCAGGTGTTCAGTCAGATGATGTCATCACTGTCTGTGTGAGAGAAGCTAGAGTGAGGTCAGAATCATGAAGTTAAACTACAGACAGACTCAGTTCAGCTTCAGAGGAACTAAAAGGAGGAAAAATAAAATAAACTGATCTGCAGTAAATGCAGAATACTGCATTCAGAAATACTGAAACATGAACACAAATATAAACATGTCAGTGTTTCTGTACACATGATCAGTATGAATGTGTTCAAGGTGGAATTATTTCTTATATTTAATCAGGTTGAAGCTGGCTGTGTTTGATTGGACAAAGTAAATCAGTGCTGATGATGTCATCAGTGTGTTTCTCTACAGAGCGTGCAGGTAAACACAGGTGAGGTGAGACAGGTGTTACATGTTGTATTTACTGTGTTTGGGAGGGAAGTCCTTCATCCCCACACGAACAGTCTTCAGGTTCTGTTGGCAGACCTGTAGATTAGCCACAGCGGTTTCATAAGTTCCTTCCTGGTAAGTGAAAGGATCAATAAAAGGAGGCTGAGGGTAGATCATCTCCTGCTTGTTGAAGTCTGCGTAGGCAACCTCTTCACCATCCAGTCCATACATCATCTCTCCATCAGAGTCTGAACAGCCATTGATAGCAATGTCCCTGTGCAGAGCTGAAACACATCAAACACTGATCAGTGACCTGATCAATGACCTGATCAATAAGCTGCTGTTTACAGAGACAAACTCACCGTCAGCAGAGACACAGAGGACACAGGAGAGGAAGAGGAGCAGCTCCTTCATCTTCATCAACAGCTCTCTGACAGTTAAACTCTGAGTGTGTGTCTGTGTGTGAACCTCACAGTGTGTGTGTGAGAGTCTGTGAGTGACTAAAAGTGCAGCTGAGCTCTAACACACAGCAGCCAATCACAGAGCTCACAGCTCATGATGTCATCAGTGTCCAGGCAGACAGCAGCTGGAGGTGAACATGATCTGAGGAGACAGCACCGATCAATAATCAATATTTATAGACTCTTCAAAATAAAGTTCAGCCTGATCAGTTTCCAGTCTGAGGATTTTCAAAATAAAACCAACTTTATTTTAATAAAATGATTCAGTTTGTTTAAAAACACTGTGAAATATGACTTTATGTGTTATTTAAATAGTTTCCAGTTTAAAACACACCTGAGTTCATGTGTGTTACTGTGACAGTGAGAGTCACAGCTGTGTTTGTCAGCAGGAAACTTTTACAGACACAGAAACTTTACGCCTCCATCATATGTTGTAGATGCATCCAGCAGGTCCATCAGAGTCTTTACTGGGCCGATTCTGGCCCCGGGCCTTATGTTTGACACCTACAATAACCTGATCAGCTTTCAGAGAGTGATTATTGATCAGATGGCATAACCTGCTGTCAGAGGAGCAGCTGAGTTAGAGCTGAGGAGGAGTTTAAAGTGTTTCCTGTTTCCTCTGCTGATAATCAGCCAATCAGCTCTTTGCTGTCACACAGCTCACCTGTGCAGGTGTGACAGGTGAGTCAGTCCATCTCAGATCATTGGCTGTGTCCCAATTTAGCGTCCGCACGCTTCAAGTACACATTTTGGGACCTATTACGTCACAGCGACGCTACGAAGGCTGTCCCAATCCGAAGTGTTCTCCAGCAGCAGCTGACAGATGGAGAGAATAGACAGACTGTTCCCTGTTTGTGAAGGACTGCTAGGAAAGTTTAACATAACTGTCTGTGCTGAATCAGTCTTATTAGGTAATGTTCA